AGACAGACAGACAGACAGACAGACAGACAGACAGACAGACAGACAGACAGACAGACAGACAGACAGACAGACAGACAGACAGACAGAGCGACAGGCAGACAGACATAAAGACGGACGACAAACAGACAGACAACAGACAGACAGACAGACATAAAGACGGACGGCAAACAGACAGACAACAGACAGACAGACAGACAGACAGACATACAGACAGACGACAGACAGACAGACAGACAGACAGACAGACATGCAGACAGAGCGACAGACAGACAGACAGACAGACAGACAACAGACAGACAGACAGACAGACAGACAGACAGACGACAGACAGACAGACAGACAGACAGACTAAGCGCTTTATACGTAGTAAGTAGGATGGGCGTTACCTCAATCAGAAACACAATCGGAATTGATCTTCCTTAGCTCCGTGTGCTTTTTTAAGGCCAGAATATGAAGGTAACCTTCTGACCCCATTTTATAAAAAGACCCCCAAATGGAATTCAGTATAGGAGACAGCGGGTGTAATCAGAGTGGTAGCAGTGCGAACCGTTACGAAAACCCACTAGGAGCGCGCTACTCTTACAGTAACCCATCCACAGCTCCCAACCCGAATGCAACGCCAATTCCCTAACTTCATTGTGGGAAACCTCCGATCTACGCGTCCGCCGAAAGCAGATCTCCCCGCCCACTTCGCGAGGCACACCCCAATGAGCTCTCGAGATGACATATTATAGTACCCCCAAGGGTCAATGAAGCGAATAATTTGTATTTGCCAAAGTTATCTTCTCTTTTTGAGATGACTGCCGTGGACAAAGCGCAAACCGTATGCCCCACCGGCGAATGCGACGTCTGCCAAATATCGCGATCTAACCCGCCGCATGCGAAGGCTGCGGCGTGACCTAGTTTCGACGGACGCGAGGATCGAAGCGCACCCACTTTACTATTACATGCACATGCTCCCACACGGTCCCTTTCCAATGCGTCGTATATATAATGGGAGAAGAACGGAGAACGTCCGTTGCGCGTGTCCGTCGGAAGTAGGTCACCCCGCCCACTTCGCGCGCGGCGCACCACGCTAAGGTCTCGAGATGACATTACAGTACCACCAAGTGTCATTGGAGCAAATGATTTGCATTTGTCTGTGTTATCTTCTTCTTGAACTGACTGCCGTGGACCAAACGCAAAGCGTATGCCCCAGTGACAATTGCGACCTCTGTCAAATATCGCGGGCCGACTCGCCGCCTTCGACGGCTGCGGCGTGACCTAGTTTCGACGGACACGCGCAACGAAGCGCACCCCGAGAAGAACTACGTCTTTATGGTTATGCCGTGAAAGGAAATGTCTCACTTGTAGAATTCCGCGTCCAATGCATCTTATTTTACGACAAATTTTTGTAGGGCCAGCGTGCCGTACTGAATTCTCATTCCTATCCCCCCGGCTCTATGTTCATCTTCATTTTTTGCTTCTGGTTATGCTTTCTTTTTCATTCCTTGTTTCTTCGTGATCGTCTTCAAGATGAATTCGTGTAAAAGACTTCAGACCTAACATAGCACTCTTTTTCCCAATGGTGTTTTATGTGTTAATGGTTAGTCTTTCCAAGTAATCTACATATTACCGGCCCCCCTCCTCAGTAATCTTGAAATTCGCGACAATGGCTTGATACAGGCTATAAGAACTGGTTGTAGTTGAATTTGAGTCTTTCTAAGGGAAATCTCAACTTCAGTACAAAACTTTTTCTTTGAGATTGAAGACACAAAAGATACTTTTTATTACGACCTTTTAGAATAGCCGGCAATTAATGTAGACAATGACATTAATGTTTTGTTGAAGTTTACATATGAATCTTAAAGTGCTGTGTTTTGCTTACTATCATCTAAATAAGGACTGTTCCTAGTGGGTTCGGGCCTCTACTGCTCTTGGTTCTCATCACGCTTCTCATCGTCTTTGTTCTCATTTTCATCATCTTCTTCGCCACCTTTTCCTTTTAACTGTTTTTCTGGAATTCTGTCACCGAAATTCACATTGTCCGGTACAATCTCCACTGCTTCCTCGTCTCCAGGTGTTTCAGCTGCACTCACTTCTGCGTTCTTGTCCGGTTTTCTTTCTTCCTTTTCATCACTTTTTCCGCTACCACTTGCAACTTCGTTTTCATCTTGAGTGCGTTTAAGAGTGGCAGCCTCTGGGCCTTTGCCCCTTCTCTCATCTTGAACTAGCTGCTCAGAGATTTCAGGTAGACGTTTCGATCGACCGGTCTCTCTAACCGTCTCTGTAGTGACAGTCGTGAGAGTCGTAGTTTTCATTAACTCATCGGCTTCAGATGTTGGTTTCTGATTGAAAATGCCCGCTTCTTGTGAGAGTAGCTCCGGCGCCGCGGTCGGTACTTTCCTACGTTGACCTTTCCTTTTTTCATCCTTTCGTTTCCTATGGCGTTTGCTTCTACGTCGGCCCCTGGGCTGTAGCGATGAAGAACGAGACTGTCTCTGAAAAAAGGTTCCTTTGACCGTTGTGCGTAAAACGATAACCTATTGGGAATTTCTTGAAAACATTCTTCACCTTACCAATCGTTTCATATCATCTTTTCACGGAATATACGATATAACAGATTGTGAATAGTGTGGGCCAAGTACCCCTAATGCCTAATGTGGAGAATCGTCCGAAAGTCTTATCCTTCCGGTGACAGTGGAGTTTTCCAACGGTCCAAAGACAACGTTATCAAGTAGTGAAAAACAAGAGCGTAGCCTCTTCTTTCTGATTTTTTTTTTGGGAATCGAACTATAGAGATATTTCAGTCAGCGTTTTGGAAGTTCCTTGTTGCCCAGTGGCTGTCTCCTGCGATCAAATGAGCAACTCACGCATGAAAGCTTGAGGTTTGCTTCTCGTGTGACCTCTCAGCACGAGCTTCCATGATTGGAATTTATCCGTGAAAGCATTATAACTTATGTGTGAATGCGCAACTTGATTCGGGTGGATCTCGTGACATCTGCAGGAGACTGTCAGCGCGAGGTGTTCTCTAGGAGTAACTTCAGAGGAGGTTCACTAATTTTGGTGGGTCGGTCTTTGGAAAGCTCTCACTGGTCTCTAGGATAAAGTTCTTGAAGTTGATCAATCCCGTCTGAGGGATGCGCCCCCGCACACACCGTGGAAATTCTTGGAGAAGTTCCGTTACCCGGCCCCGCACTCGACCGCCATTCAGAATCGTAGTGGCGTAATGAGTGTGTATGTGGCCTATACAATGACAGGTGTACAAGTCAGTGCTTTTATCCTCCCGAACGAGTCTGCTTCCAATTAACCGACTACAAAAGGATGGAAGGCTTAGTTGCCTAGGATATGGGTCCGGATTCGAACCCCTGACCATGCGTGTGAGATAGTGCGTCACTTGCCAGTACACCCCCTGTGTCCACATACATGAGGATATTCTTCTTCACAAAAAAAAAAAAAACTAAGCAGCCTAGTAACAGTTGGGGGGAATGAGTAATCCCTGGAACTTGCCATCGAAAATTCGAATGATTGTGGCGTTACGCCACGAAATGTGAAAGTTTCCTTCATGGCATTGATTTTGATGTGTCCCTCTACTTTTGGAGCGCTGTTGGTCCGAATGTTACTTTTGAATTACCAAACATAACATAGTGATGTTCGCAGTAGATAGTAGGTCTATATTATGGTAGAGAGAAAACGTACTCTCCTCGGCTTAATTTCAAGCCTCTTTTCTGCGACAATGCCGTTCTGTTGATTTTCCATTTGGCTATTAGAAGGCATCTGGAATCTCCAGTAAAATGTTCAGTTGAGAACTTCAAACCAACCTAGCCACTCACCATACTGTTCGATACGGCACTGTCGCCGGAGGAGTCCCGTGCTGTTAGCGACAACTTTACTGGTTCCGAGATTTCCACTGAATACAGCAATTAAGTTCTACATGATTTATTTTTGAAATGAATGATAGCCTTCCCCTGTTGAAGTATTCTAGTCCCTCACATGGAGAGGGGTGTAATGGAGATGGGATAATGGGAACATGGTTATTGAGATAGGGCAGTGAATGCAGAATTAGGGAAATAAGGTGGGTCAGTATGCTATCTCTGATCGCACAGGACAATAAGAAGTCTTCAGAGCAATCGTCGGCTACAGTACCAGACTTCTTTTCAGCTGCACATCACATCCGTTTCAAAATATTTCTTAGCCCCATTACCAGTCCTTGATGTTGCCCATAATTTATTAACCGAATAGGATGGTACGGGATCCTTAAAAAATGACACTTGAGACTGTTCGAGAGCATCAGGCCACTGTTGTTGTTCGGTAGAATGAATTGCACGTCTAGAGCATCCACCCGTCTCTAGACCTTCAAAAAGTTGAAAAGGTGGAAATATGATGATGACGACACCATAAGGATTCTATTTGATGAGCTTGAATGGACTGAAGGATTGAATTGAAGGATTGAACTCAGTTCAACATCCTAGGGATTATTAGAAGATGATCACCGTAATGTAGAGAATCGTCCGAATGTCTTATCCGCCGAGTGACAGTGGAGTTCTCCAACCATCCGAAGACAACGTTAACAAGTGTTATAGGGACAGTTTACGATAAAAATGGTTTCTGAGATTTCACTACAGGATGGATTTGAGGCCCTCGCGTACACGATATCTAGCACTACTAGGTCGGAATCGAAGATTGGCCCGTGTTTATCCTCGGACGAGTTTCAGCGGCATTGTAGAGGCTGCAACGATCACAAGGGAACCCATGTAGGAAGTTCGAACAACTTGTCATAACCCATAGCGACGGTGAAAGACAGTTCTGTACAGTTTTGCCCTGATGAAGTCAGCTCTTTGCGCAATAACAGCGACTGAAATCTCGTCCGAATACCCCTTCCATGTTATTTCCGTCATGGCGATCTCGTCCAACCTCTATTTTCCCTACTTTTATGGAGCCATATATTTCTTGGAATCGGCGAATTCTCTCGCTTTCTTTGCTACCGATAAACTATTCCCAACGTATACTTCAGCTTTTCCAATAAAAACGGGTACCTCAAAATTAACGTGAACTGTGCCTTGAAAAAAAGTTACCGATATGGCGTCCGCCCCATGATTCTGGAATGAATTCCGGATAGACCAGCATTACATCGAAGAGACGAAGTTTAAGCTGTTAAAATTAGATTTTCAAGCGATCGAGTACCATTATTCTTCTTAATAGCTCAATATCTACCTTTTCTCTTTCACATAAGAATACGACCACCTCATTCGGAAATCGGTACTCCTCGCATTTATCCATTATCTGTTCCCAACACTTGTTCAAAGCCTCATGGATCAGTCGCATAACCTAAATTTCCGACAGTTGCCTGGAACTTCGATGCCAAAAGAGTAATATCTCCTTCATCGTTATCCGTAACCCACATTATAGGACGGGCAACTCATTTCCGAATCGAAAAATTGACGGACTTTTTCCGTTTCTTCTTGATCTAAGCAATCTTCGAGAATTCGGTGTTTTTTAATTTCTATCATCACCTGTAGGTACTGAGCTATGCAAAGTTCTCCTCACTACTGTAATGTCAAAGGGAAATAAAGGAGAAATATGGAACACACCCTTAAAGCTAGATTAAAATCACGTTGAGAAATAATTTCTGCTATATTAAACTCTTCCTGTGGCTCCTTGAAAGTGAACCGTTCGCTAAAGATCCCACTCGGAGAATTCTGAAATGTCTGCGTGCAATTCTGTTCCAAAGTTGTCCCGCTTTCCCCATCTCATGGTCAGTACATCGTTGATTTCGCGTGTTTCGTGTGTTTCGCGTGTTCTGTCTCGACGGCTTCGTCGACTACGTCTGCTTCGTCTGCTCTAAACGGGAAAGGACAATTATAAACAGATCAACAACATAGAAGCTTTCTGACACTAACTCGGCATTTCGTGCATATAGGACATCTCAGGAAAAACGAACAAAAACTGACCTTCTTTGGTTTCTGAGGTGCAATAATTCTTGGATTGGGAGGAGTTGGTGGTGGCGGGGGATCGTTCTTAACTTGATCATCCTTTGTTTGTTCGTTCTTAAATCGTGTCTTGTTTCGTCGCAGCGTTGAAAGTACCGGTCGAGCGACGGTGTCAACTTTTTCAAAGACAGTTTTTTCTGCACTGAAACAAAAAGCAGTGCTTCTCAGTTGCAGACGAAAATTACCTCAAATTTCTCATCTCTGAAAATGCTGAACGAAAAGCTTTTTTGTCTTTTCTCGCAATTGACGCACATCAGCATCAGCGCTTCCATTCCTGAACCCCCTAGTCATACATCATATCATCAGGGAACTAGCCTTCAGGTGAGTGAGGTGGATCCTACTGCGACCGTGGGAGTTTTCCGGATTTAACGTTCTGAATGGGAACAGGAACGGACCACCCAACCTATTTTGCCCATGAATGCTGATACATTGAAGGATTTGTCACCAGCGGTCGTGGTAATCTCATGATAGGTGGAAATGGTCAGCCATGAAAGATTAGCAGAGCATATCAGATTGTATCTCAAAGTATGCCATCATTTATCGATGTACCAAGAAGGGAACGGTCGTCCAAATGCCTGATTTCATAGCTACAGCGATCTCCAGGTCCCAAACTACGCCTTTCCGGGAGGGTTCTTTTGATGTTAGTTCTTCAGTGGTGAGATTGTCACTGGCTGAATTATCAGAAGATTTGCTCAGACTTGTTGAGCAGATCCTATTTACTCACGACTGTCCTGTGAGAGGGACAAGAGGTGCAGCTTGCTCGGATTCTGCGCTTCGAATTCGGTCACTAAGAGCACGATCTGCGGATCCTTGAAACAGCGCCCGTATCAGCTCTTTTCTTCGATTAAGTTGCCTGCTGAGGATAGCTAAAATGATAACTGTTAAGGATAGGTTTCACGATTCTCAACCACTTGACTCGATCACGAAGTAGCTCAGGAATGGATTCACTCGCCTTTCTTTCTGTCCGCAGTGCTTCTAGGCATCAGAGTGAGATCAGAGCATGTGAGACTGATTGGAATGAGTTGAGAAATTCAAATGAAACATACCAAGTCAGCATATGAATGCTCGTTGCATGAACAACTGAAATTTCTAGAATTTGTCAGTTCATATCGCTCAGCTAGTAATGGTGAGCAGTCCTATCGCTCCTCGAGTTGAACGTTTATACACTGCGTTTCATAAATATAGGGCCACCCTAAATTTTTGTAATTCCAAATTTGCTGTGCATGTTGAGAAAATGCTGCTATCACCAGCAGATTGCTCATGTCGAAAAACCCCGGTAACGTTTTTCTGAGAAATTTTCTATCCAACTAATCTAAATAACTTACCCTAAGCGAATTTTCTGTATATTATGAATACGGGTCCACTTCTAAAAAATTCCGTTTCTCTTTTCCCATAAGGGGA